AGTTTATTCCTTTAGATATGTAGGATAGGTTGATATCTTGCAAGTCTGTATATCTGGACACCCCTGTTTTTAGCCAGTCCAATGAATTTTGATTATCACAAGCGGGCAACCTAACCTCATGGCGTCGGATTCATCCAAATAACCTCCTGCCTTCGCCAATTCATTAGCTCTCTCATATAATTCATTTAACTTATTGAATAACTTGAATATAACTTTTTAAACAAGTCGCAACTCTCTTCACATAATTTTTTTATTAGTTAATTCAATTAGTCATTTCAAATAGGCGGCAGCCCTCTTCAAAAGTATTTTGAAGCTGAAACCTTGATAATTCTCCTTCATTTAACATTGCAATACAAAATTTTAAAACTGATGAATTAAGTTGAATTTGAATTTTTAAATATCTGGCAACCCTGCTAAATATAGTTCAGAAATAAAGATTTTTCAAGCCCTCCTTCGAGTGATACCCATATATCAATAATTCATTTAACTTATTAAATAATTTAAATTTAACCCTTTAAACAGGTGGCAACTCTCTTCCAAAACCTCAGAAATCTTCTTAATGTTCAAATTCAAGCTTACTTGGCACTCTTTTGTTTGCCATGTATATTGGGATATTTTATATAACTTGTGTATAAGTTAACTAAATTCGATATCAGACCAGCTCACGTAAATCTTGAAGTTTTTAAGAAACATTTTGGCGTAAGTTTTAGAATACAATAAACTTAATAATTTTGGTGGAAAACTCGCAACTTTTTTGATTCTGACACCCTAATATACACACATACATACACCAAGTGTTACCATTAATATTCGAAGCTTCATAATGCCGACGAGCTTTTGCTAATCAAAATACTATTAATTAAGTAGCTAACCTATAATTAAAAATGTATAAACATTTAGTAGTCGGCTATTATCAATCGTTTACCTAAATTTTTGATAGCTTATTTGACTTTTAGTAAGCAGTAGAAGTGCGATAGCCATCTGCCATTTTAAAACTTTATTTATTGCAAATTAACTAAGTACATACTAAACGAGTAATTAAATAGCAATTTTTGTGCATCGACAAGATAGATTAATCTTAAATTTACTACAAAAAAGTAAGGACATACCTGCATATACAAATATGTATTCCGTTGTGTGAAAGAAAAATCAGTTTAGTAGAAATGAGATCAACTTCTTTGGAATTTACTCTCTGAGAGCACTCTTCAACAATATACATATATGTATATGCAGGCAATGAGACCACATCTTCCGCAGTCGGAGAAGAAGTCGAATTTCAGCGAGCACAAAAGAACGCCAGTTACGACAAAAAGTATCACGCCGTTGAAGAGCAAAAAGATTCAGCTTGCAGGGTTACACTGCAATCGAGCGCAACCAGAGCTACGTATATACGTATGTGAAATCGATACAGAGGGCCAAATGTTGAAGCGAGACATGTTTTCCGAAAAATTAGGATAGTGGGCGAAAAACACGTGAGTGCGAAAAGTCTGAAACGCTGGCCGGCAGGAACAATGCCCGAAGCTATTAAAAAAGTTAGGCAACTTACCGTTGCTCTCAAGTTTAGGTCCAATTCCTGTGAGAACAATCAGGATGATCTGGTGAGTGATGGCCAGAACGCGCTTAAATTATGGAGGGAAAATTGTCAACCCTATTAAATGATAAAAGCACTGAAATAAGGAAAGAAGTTGATCCCGAGCTTCAAACTAAGACGGACTGGCATTTGAACTATCAAATTATGCATGCCTGACGACTTAAGTATAATCAGCTCAATTCACCAGTAAGGCAACCCCGCCATATGCGCCAACTAATGTGGGACCAGCCTTTTGAGCACCGCTTTGAGATTTTATCGAGCTTATTGTGTGTACAACACTAAAGCCCACCGTCAACGATCCGAAAGGACCTTATAAGTGTGGCTTTAGAACCGGTAATCCAAAATAAACCGTAATCACCGTGCGTCAAATATTGATGGGACACGTGAGAAGAAACTCACCATCTCCACTATTTTAAGACGCCTACGATAGCAACAAAAAAGTTGCATATTCGCCGCGATATCTTAAACAGCTTGGTATTCCCGCAATCCTAATACGGCTGTGCAAAATGTTGAACAATACCATCATTGGGAATATCATCTTCGGGTCGTTCGATACCAGACGATGTTTCAGACAGGACGACTTCCTATCGTGTAACTTCCTTAATTTACGCCCGTTACTGTTACTGTTGAGAGTTACAATTTCGAAAAATTGCTAGAACTTCGTTTATTTGAGAACCAGCAACAAGCCAAACCCTTGAGGAAATTAAAATCTCAAGATATTGATGCATAAAGACTTGTTTGTGAGCTATGTATTTAGTTCTGTCGCTATTGTTGCGAAAATTTTGTCTGAGTGACAACTGACAGCACCCTTGTCTGACAGACGATAGGGGTTCATCCCGTTTTATCGAACTGCTGTGTGGTAGGCAGCGTTGCCATTTTAGCCGTTTTCCGGCTAGATTTAGCCGGTTTTGATAGCAACTAGCCGGAGAAAATTCGATCTAGCCGGCAGCCGATTTGTTAGCCGGTTTGTAAAAAAAGTTAGCCGTTTTTAGCCGATTTTACTATTTGCCTAATTTTCAGGTGCAAAAAGTAAACAAGTTGTTCGAAAGCAATAATGCAGAGCCAATGAAGATTTTTAATGAACTCAATGTTTTACTTTCGCATCTATGCTCCCTAGTGGTTATTAGCGCGGACACATTTGATCCTATATGCTCCCCGTTGGAACCATACCTTGCTCCATTTCCTCAGTTTTATCACAGTTTTGAAGAGTATTTAAAAACAAAAGTAAGCACAAATGCTTTTGACCACGAAGCCGAGAAAATAATTCGAGATTATTATCACTTTAATAAAGGAATTACGCCAACGCCTCCCTACAAATATTGCGACACTAAAAAAAATTGACTTTTTTCGGTTGGAAATGCATTAAGAGTAATTAAACCAAAAGTATTTGTTCAACTACAGCAACAAAAACACAAATATAATGCCGACGAAATAACATCCATAGAGATGCAATGGCAACGGTTAACGTTACATACCTGGAGTAATTTAGACTCAACTGTAAAATTTTGGGCCGAAGTTTATCAATTTCGAAATGCCCTAGGAGAAAACCCTCTTGCGTCAGCAACCTAGTTTTTAGTTTTCTTGTTTTGCCTATAAGTAATGCAGAAGTAGAGCGAATATTTAGTTCAATGAATATAATAAAAACTAAGCAAAGAAATCCAATGCGCGTTAAAACGTTAAACGCTATTTTATATGTAAGATACGGTTTAAAACGTGAAGAAAAATGCTGCCATAATTTTACTGTAGATGACGATCTCTTAAAATTAATGAATTCAGGTGATATGTGAATAGTGATGAATGTGATTCATTTGATGATGAGGAATATACACTCGATATAAATTAATGGTGTTAACTAGACTTTCGTTTCTTGCGATTTATTTAAATAAAGCATGTGAATTTTCACTAAAACATTTTAGCCGTTTTTAGCCGCTTTTTTTTGCCAATCTAGCCGGTCGGCCCAAAAAGTTCTGGCAACACTGGTGGTAGGCATGAGACCACCATACCGGCTAACAGGGATACGTCACAAGGGGCGTATAATAACCGCTACTTTGGTGGCTAGTGGTTAGCAGGATACTGAAGAAAATGGAGGGAGGACCTTCGGAACTTTTACTGCATTTACTAATGATATTTCTTTCCTAGTAAGCGGAACGAATCTGTCTACACTCAGCTCACTTATAAGCCAAGCACTATGGGTGACACATCTCTGTGAAACTAAAATTGGGCTTAGTGTCAACGTAGAAAAGTCAGATCTAGTACTCTTCCACAGTAAATACAACGTTACGAAGTTGTCTAAGTCTTAGCTGGATGGGGTGACCCTCCAGGTGAAGAAAAGCACCAAGTACCAGGAAATAATACTTGATAGTAAGATGTCATAGCACCTCATTGTGGACCTGGGGTTTGTCACCTTCTCTTTCTCACTGGATCTTCACGGCAATAGTCAGGCCGATACTGCTCGATGAGGTATTGTTTTGGTAGACAGCAGTGGAGAAGAAAACATTTCTTCAGATAATAGAAAGTCTATCTGGGCTATCAAAGATTGGCATGACAGGGGTATTTAGGACTACGCCAACGGCAGCACTTTATACCTTGTAAGATGGAGAAGGGCGTAGGGGCGTCGATGGTAACGAGTAGGCCGAAAGGCTTGTCAAAGAGGGTACTTTGGCGGAAACCATGCCATAAGTGGAGGTGATTAAACACGAACTCGACCAGTCCATGCCCCGGAAGGCGTGGAACCAAACGCAAGGTTGCAAGGTGTCCGGCTTTATGTGCAAAGCGTATATTTCATGAAGCTCACTAAGTTTCTCCCTTCTTTCAAGAAGGAGGACGCTAGGCTACTGATGGGTACTCTAACGGGACATTCGCCTGCTGGCATCTCACGCCTTCAAACTAGTTTTGACCACTGACAACCTCTGTAGAAGATGCACAACGAAAGACAAGACAGTGGAGCATATCCTCTGCGAGTGTCCTGCCCTTAGCAGACACAGACTGCGGGTTAGTCTGCTGGGAGTAGGTTTTGATGACTTTCAATTTAAATTTTTCGAACTGTCAGAGAAAATCAGATCTAAGTGAAACGTAGGTCAATTACGCACGCTACTTTGGAAATTGGTTATTAACAGTCAACAAAGAGTGGCAGACAGCTTATTGAAATATTTAAGTGGCCCACGCGAAGTTGCAAAAATGATAGGACAGGAGGTAGAGCAGCAAGGCGAGCGACCAGTTAGCAGTCCAAGCTGATCGAGATGAATTTGCAAATGGAAGTGAAGCACCAAACACCAGCAGTGTTGTTGATGCGACTAGCATGTTTAGAGATGTCTACGTTAATGCTGCAAATGCCTGTAGCAATTTTATTGGCATGTACATACTTGGTACTATCGTTGATGGAGTGGATGACTACTTACTAACAACTTACCTACTATCCACAGAACAACCATCAAGACATACAGTTGCCAACCTTCGCGATTGCTGCTTTTGAATCTGGAGCCGGTGGTGTCATAGCGACAACAGGTTAACCTGTTGCAACGTCTTTCTTTGTGGCAGCTGCAATTATCGTTGGTGCCATTCATGTCTTCGCTTGTATTGTGGTGGCTGCGAAGCCACCATGATGTTTTGCTGTCGAGGTTTGTATAAAACTTGTTGTCGCAGCTGAATTTCTTAGTTTGTTTCTGGTGGCTTAACTTTGTTGTTTTGTTAGCTCTCGTCATTATTGCCGGTAGTTGATTGGTTTGTGTTATTTATTTATTTTTT